GGAGCAGGGAGCCCGATGCGGGACTCGATCCCAGGACCCTGGGATCATGACCTGAGCCGAAGGCAGACGCTTAACCGACTGAGCCACCCAGGCGTCCCAGGCCAATAGCATTCTTATACTACAGTAGCAATCAACTAAAAAAGGGGGAAGGTGAGAAAAAATAAGATCAACATTGCAATTTTAAACACACAGGATTTAAGAATACCTTTATGGAGAAATTTAGAAATCTCTATTCAAGGATATTTTAAAATATGTGAATAAATGAAGAGATAAATTATGTTCATGGATAATATGATTCAATATTTGAAAAACTGAATTCTCCCCATATTAATAAAATACAATGCAATTCCAATGAAAGTCAGTAAATTTTTTTGAGGAACTCAAATAATTCTAGAATGCAAGGAAGGATAAAGATCTACAATAGCTAAGTCAATTTTGAAAAAGAAAAGCTGAGGGACGCCTGGGTGGGTCAGATTGTTAAGTGTCTGCCTTCGGCTCAGGTCGTGATCTCTGTTCTGGGATCGAACCCCACATGGGGCTCCCTGCTCAGCAGAGAGTCTGTTTCTCCCTCTCCCTCTGCCTTTCCCCCCTGCTTGTGCTCTGTCTCTATAATGAATAAATAAAATCTTAAAAAAAGAAAAAGAAAAGCTGAAAGGGGTCACTTTTCCTACCAGATAGTGAGATAAACTGCCGAACCATAGTAATAAGCATCGTGGTGCTGAGACAGGAAGGAACTGAAAAACACACTAATGAAACAGAACAGAGACCAGAAACAACTCTGTGCCATAAACATACAGAACTTGAAGTCTGACAGAGGTAGAATCACAACTCAGTGGAGAAAGGATGTTGCTTAGTAGATGTTATTGGGAAATTGGCTTACTATTGAGAGAAAAAGTGTATTCCTGCCTTACACTATATATAAAGGTAGATTTCAGGTAGGCTAAATACCTAAATGTGAAAGATAAAACTAATAAAGGAATTGATAAGATGGGTAAGAGGATTTCTTAAGAGTCTAAAAGCACAAGTCACAAGGCAAGTGAAATTTAAAAAATAATGCATTTGGGGTGCCTGGGTGGCTCAGGTCATGATCCTGGAGTCCCGGGATTGAGCCCCACGTTGGGCTCCCTGCTCAGTGGGGAGTCCACTTCTCCCTCTACCCTCACCCACTCATGCTCTCTCTCCCTCTCTTTCTCTCTCAAATAAATAAAATCCTTAAAAAAAATAATGCATTTGACAAATTAGGGATTTTCTGTTCAAAGGAGGATGCCATTAGATAAAGGCAACTGTTGACAAGGGAAAAGA